CCCCCCCCCCCCCCCTTCCGATCAATCTATGTGTAGCCCCCGTACGCGTGCATGCGTGTGTGCGAAAGCGACCGGCCGGCCGAGCCTCGACAGTGACTTTGTCCGATGTAGAGCAATGTGCCCCGTCGTTAAGGGGAACAAACAGCTGTATCGCACGCCACCGCCACGCCGTCCTCGAACGTGGACGAGCGTGAATCTGCTCTCCCGACAAACAGACAGTTATTTCATTTCTCCACGCAATGTTTCATTTTGCAAAGTGGTCACGTTATTACACGGGTAGAAAAAGTGCTGGAATCAAATAAACGTAATCACCTGTTTTTCACCCTCTCAAATCAAGTAATGTGTTTTTCTCAATTTAAATATACTTTAATAGTTCGTAGTTAATATTTGCTCGAGCGCAGCTAATTTAATTTAATTTGTAAATGAATTATTGTAGAGTAAAATGGTTCTAAATTTAATAGAGTATTTACTAGAATTATGCAATACTTCTTCTTCCGTTGAAGAGACAGTTTTCAATTTAGTTTTTTTTCTGTGCAGAGAGAGAGCGAGTATTCTCTAAAAATCAATTCTGATGTTCCTAATATTGCGAGTGTGATATTGTCACAATTGTTTTAAGACGCATAAGTAAATGTCTATACGAAGGAAATATCATACGTGTATGTGTGTAATCAATTATATTTCGACTTCTAGTAAATATTTGCCGAGGAGATCGGAGTAACCGTTTTCCTTGGATCAAGTAAATATTACCTGAAAGGTAGCACTTTTTCTCAGTTGTAGTTTTGAACGGATCGCACACATTCGGTTTTATTTATTCGACGCAAAATCCGTGTCATCTCAGAATAACGCACTTTGCGCCCGAGTGCCCGTGAAACTCTGGTCTTGAATTTAATAAAGGCAGAGAGAGAGAATATCCCGATTTAATTTAAGACGATTTTCACGCCGGAACGACGTTTCCGCAGAATTTCCAGCTTCGAGCCAACCTGCGAGGCCACCTGCGACTGCGATCGGAACAAATTCAGTCCAATCTGCGGCGTCGACGGCAGAACGTATTTCTCCGCGTGTCACGCGGGCTGCTCGAATTATACGGTTGTTGACGGCAAAGTAGCATCGGTAAGTACGCCCCGGTAGTAGGACTGACGACATGTCTGTTCTTTCAGCGAGATTGTACGGTACACCGGACGGTAATTGAATCGGCCATTATCTCGGAGACACACCATACGATCGGGAATAATCGAGTTCGACTCGCTCGAGACGTGCGAAGAGTTCGGAAGCTTAGGTCGCTTTTCGACGAAATAATATCAGAGGTGCCCATGTACAATCAAGCATTCACCGAACTCTTGTTCTTATCAGCTTCTATTCTGAACTATATAATAACAATACTTTCTCAGTATATAAATAATATTTTCTTAATTTGTTATTTGGGTGAGGTATTCAATTTGTTATACCATTGATTAAGAAATAAAAACTTTGCCCGTAGACTTTTAAATTCGATTTGAAATACTTGGTTACTTATCGGTGCCCATAATATATTTATGTGTACTGAGAGAAAAAAGAAATAAACAAAAATTATATTTGGTGGATACTGAGAAACTTTGTTCTTAATATACATATTCTTAAGTCTGTAGATTTTATAAAAGATTTTGACGGAAGTAATGATTTATTCCATTGTATATTTAATAAAATAATAGTTTAGATTAATAATAATTTAGATTAAATATCTTATATCAGTACCTATCGGATAAATATTTTTATATCTTTAATTTCTTAGATATTTTCCCCCCTCAGTGTAACGATATCGCTATTAACCGTCGAAGTTGGTTATTAACAGCTTCCCACCGACATAAAAGCTCTATTATTTAGCTGTTACGATTTCCTTCTTTTCCATTCTTTTTTATTTTATGCGCGTGACTTATCCCGTAACTTATCGTAAAGCCCTTCCCTCGTGTTGGGCAATTACGGTCCTCTCTCTCTCGTCGTAAGGATACCTCCCATCTCTTCCTCTCTTCTGATAACGTTATATCTGGTATTTCGCAGTTTTCCAACTGTCAGTGCATCGGACAGAACATAACGATACCGGAAGCAGTGAGCACAGCGACGATAGGTTACTGCGAGCTGGAGTGCAGTAACTTTTGGGTTTATATGATCCTGTTCTCGGTCTTCGTTTTTATCCACTCGACCAGCGAGGTGGGCTCCATGCTGCTCATTCTGCGATGCGTGGATCCCAGGGACAAGGCCATGGCGCTCGGCCTGATACAGTTTGCCATCGGCTTGTTCGGTAATTACTCGACCGGATATTTTTCTCTCCTTTTTTGCTCCTCGTAACGGAGGAGGCGCAAACTTGCGCGGGGGAACTCGTCGGTCCGAGTGAAACGAGAAAGCGAGCGCAAAAAACCTCGGAAGATTATAATTATCTTACCGCACCGGTCGATTCGTAACGAAGTAATCGGGAATTAACGTTGCGTCTCGTTGTTCGCTTTGTCGAGATGGTTTTTCTCGCTGTTCTTTCTTTCCCTTTTTTTTTTAACAAGAGATTAGTCAGAGCCGATTCTTTCGCTCGGGGAGGAGAGAAGGGCAATATTTTAATGGGACAAATCGACACGCGACGGTCAGAAACCTTTGATACTAACGCTTGATACTGTCATTTACGTGTTTCCTGATGATGGAAGGGGATTTTAACATGCTCATTCTTTCACTTTAGGCAATGTTCCGTGCCCTATCGTTTACGGTGCTGTGGTGGATTCCGCTTGTCTCGTATGGGAGTACGCTTGCGGCGAGCGGGGCGCCTGCTGGCTCTACGATTCGAACGTCTTCAGGATGTTCTATCATGGTACTTCTCTTTCGCTCGGTTTTCGACGGAAAGTTCAAGTTCAGAACGTCCCAAAATATCCGTCGTGTTGCTTTTGGGACCTATATGTCGTACACAACGCGAAAAACAGGGTTGAGGACCGGGGGACTCAAAGAATCGAAGCGCAATTCGCGACGACAATAACGTGATACGTGATTCCTCCGCAGGCACGACCGGCGGTATCCTCGTGCTGGCCTTCGTGGTGGACATAGTCGTCTGGTACAAGGCCGGCAGCATAAGCTTCGTGGAGGAGCAGGAGGGCGAGGAGGGCACCGCGGAGGAAATGGCGACGTTGAAGTCGCAGGACGCTCAGGCGGTCGAGAACGATTATTTGTGAAGGTTTCGCGTTACTCCTTGCGGTGGGCGCGGGCGGCGGCCCGGCGACGTCGTCGTCGCGAGGACGCAGGTCGCAGGCCGCGGAGCAGTATCGTAGGATACCCGGGGCGTCGTCCGTCGCGACACCAAGTGCCAGTAGCTCGTCGCCGTGGACGCTACGGTGGACTCGGCGAAGGAGCGCGCGACTTGTCGGCGATTCCGCGTCGGGAGCGGCGGCATCGGCAGAAGTCTCTAGTCTCTCTCGTCGACGACAGGCGACGTCTCCTCGGGACGATCGACGCTCGTGCGCGAATCGCCTCCCCCTTCTCGTCCCCGAGGTGCACGCGAGCGCTCGTCGCGCTAGTTCGGAAGAAGTGAGCGAGCGGGCGGAGGAAGAGCGGCTGCGAGGGGCGTGAATCGCAGGAATAGCCAGGAAAGAGAAGAAGCGAGCAAACGCGTCCAGAATGCGAAGAAGCTTCGGGGAACGGTGGCGAAACGCGAGGAATCGCTCGAAGAGTAACCGAGATGGGAGGAGGACTCGGAGGAAGACCTTCAACGAGAACTCGGCCGGGCGAGGAAGATCGATCTCGCATACGTGTTGCAACCACGTGACGCGTTCGTAGGAAGCGACGTCGGTCGCGCTGTCTCGGGAACGTCTCCTGGATGCAGCGGGAGGGAGGGGAAGAGGAGAGCAGCCGTCGGTCAGCTCGCCGAGTTCTCCGGGAGATCGTCGAGGTGTTGGGTCGAGAGGGTTGAGAGATCGCGTGCAATAAAGACAAACGGGGACGCGAAGAGCGGAAGCGAGGAGACGCGCGAGAGCAAAGCATCTTGCCCGAGCATGTGATAGAAATCTCTCGAGCGCGCCTCGGCAAGTTAGGGTTTCTCTCTCAGGGAGACTGTCAGTAAGTACACGCAATAAAAGTAATACTTCCGTGCCTATGAAAGACGGTGCTCACGGCGAGCACGCGGTCGGCCGGTTTCGAATCAAACGACGCGCGGGTGGCGGCCCTGCCGGGTCAGTGAGAGATGGAATGTGTGCGACGCGCGTCGATTAGCACTCCGGACGGCGGCGACGCCGTCGAGCGCGCGTTGCCTAACCCTCGAACGGTAACGCCCGCTCGTCCGCCGCGAAAGGAAACACGAGCCGCCGCGCACCCTCCGCGAGAGCCCGCAGCTATCCTCCTTTCGAGACTTGTTCTCCCTCTCTCGTCGAACGGTACGTGCATTGCTGCCGCGGACGTCAGCTGAAGTCGCGAGGTGTGCTTCGACGCCTCGCCAAAGCGTCGGAATTTCGCCCGGCCGTATCGGAGACGAAAGGAAACCTTCGAGTCGCGACTTCTTACCGAGGACGGATCGAGAATCCTGCGTTTTTAGCCTTCGTTTTATCACATTTCACGGCGATTCGAGGAAGGGAAGGGAAATTCAGTGATACGGGCATATTTTTCGAGTCTCCTGACGACGCGAATTGGTCGGGAGGACGTCGTTGTCAAATTGAGACTGCGAGAGTGCTTTCGGGAAGAATTGCGGATTTAATAGTTCTGCGGTAGCTGCGAAGACTCGAGCGGGGAGAGTTCAATTCGGAGTACACCGGCGCCTCGCGTTTCCTTCGTGGGGGCAATCCGCGCGCTACACGGCGCGTGCGTCAGCGCGATCATTTCCGGAAACGTGAGAAAGGAAGAGGAGGAGAGCCGAGGGAGGAAACTGCCGATCATTCCACTCGATCAGTCGTTGCGATAGGAACCTTTTCCCTCGCAGTTGAAGCGCGCCAGGGGCAGGCGAAGTGCGCATAATTACGCACGTGTGTAAAAAGTGTATACTCGCGTATATAGCTGCGTATGTACAGTCGAGATGGAGGGAGGAGAGGGAGGGGTGAAAATGGTCGATTCTGGTCGGTCGGTCCTCGAGTCGTCGCTCGCACGGACGAGAACGTCTCCGCGTTTTCGGCACGCGCGCGCCTCTTCCTCTGGTCCTCGCGTGTGCGTTCGACGTCCTAAAGTACATCCCGGCGCTGCGATCACCTACGATGCGCCGGCTTTCCGTTCGAGTTGCTCGCGGATGAGGAAGTCGCCCGTGAGGAGCGTCGCAGCAACGAAGCGCCGCGAACGGTCCGGATGCTCGAGCCCCGAAGAGCGCGGGTCTTCACACGGAGAACCGTTAGAACCAACGAGGAAAGGTTTTCTATGGTTTTCCACTGCGTTGCGAGATTCTTCTTCCTTTTCGGTCTCCCATCAACTCGAGCGTCTCTAATCCGCATTAACACATTGCGCACGGGCGACGAGATATCTCGTTTTCAGGTTTCTTCGACTTAATCGATGACTTAAGGAATTAAAAATAGATTTTCTTGTTACGTCACCAGGGTAACGAAGTCTCGCGCATTCTCGAAACAAATGATTAGCGAATAAATGTGTGTATAATTGTCGTGTTGAGCGAATAGAGTGCCGTACGCGATGTGTTGATAGCCGTTACTTGAAGCTCGTGTTTCGAAGGGCAACTCGGATCTGAATTTGAGGTCTGTATTAACAGCTGTTACTGGAAACTTGTCTCGCACGAGATATTCAGAGGTGAATTTAGACTTATATTTCAGTTTTACATTCGAATTCTGTAATATTCGTGGCGTTGCATCTGTAATCGCGATACGACGGAAAAGCTCGCGTATAACTCGAAATTCAAATCTAAGTATCTCACTTGAGACACGTTTCAAGCAACAACTATTTCAAATAACGACTATTAATTAAACGGACGATCAGGGTGTCGATCGTGTAATTTTTCCCTGTGACGAAAACGTAAAAAGTGAAAACCTCAAGCGTTTTCAAATTGGACAATTTAAACTTTTTCACGAATTCACGCGGACACGGGGGAAAAATTCGCAGGAGGAAATTTATGATCAACCTCCAGGGGCTCATGAATCTTCCCCTCCAGCGTGAATTCGTGAAAAGTGTAAATTGTCTAATTTGAAAACATTTCACGTTTCCGTCGTAGGGAAAAAAAGTTACGCGATCACTCAGAGCGAATAGCTTCGCGTCAATTTGTTCGTCGGGGACGAACATCCGGCCGACTTTTCTCGCGCCTGTGTCTCACATCCAGTACGTTTCCCGGCGCTTCGAATGCGAAATTATGCTTACTTAACGAACGAACGAAGCTACGATCGGGGGCTACGAGGTGCGACGTGACCGCGCGAGAATCGACTATCGAAATCAGAAACGTCGTAGCGGTAAGATAACATATGCATATTGATATAAGTCTAATACGGTAAGGATTAACACAGCAACGACTACCTCCCAGCATACGTTTCGTCGTTGTCGGGACAGGAGGCCCCGTCGCCGGTACTCTCGGCTCCCCGAGGATCCCCCCGCGAGGTCAAGCCGAGAGCGTCCGACTCGGGTGAGAGTTGAAACTCGCGTTTATTATAATTAATATAATAAGTTCGCGGCGCGGCCGGCTGTCCCGACGATGACAATCGCGGCGTACGGACGAGATTCGAGTATGCTCCATAAATCAGCGACACGTATATTTTTCTGTGTATAAGTATTCTCGCGTATTCTACCCTCCCTCGCGGGACGCGAGCTTCGGCGCAAGGACGTTCTTCGTACTCGAGCGGCTCGACGAGGAGACGGCATCCCCGCGCAACGGTGTCCGCTCGATTCGCGCCGTTCAACGGCTCTTTGAACGCAGCAACGGATGCTTTCTTAAAACGCAATGGCCGTACGTCCGTTGAGCGATTGTCGCTTTTCATTGAAGTATTCTTTTAGATCCGTGCGCAGAAAAAGAAATGGCTGAAGTCAAGTAATTATCTGCTTCTCAGCCTCTAACATTTTTATCAAGTATATTTTAATGGTGATAAATATTTATTCGAACGCAGTGACGGTTAATTTGTAAATGAATTACTGAATGTAAGTGTACAATGGTTCTAAATTTAGGAGAGTATTAAGTAAAATTACATAGTAATTTTTTCTTTCGAAGAAACCTAATGGTTTTTTTTTTGTTTTTAATCTCGATTTTCCCGTCCGGTAGATATTTTTCAAAAATAAATCCTCTGATATTATCAATACAATGAATTTAATACCTGCCGCGATTGTTTCAACACATACAAGAAAATATCTACTTATACGAAGAAAATATATATAGTCAATTATATTTCCACTTCTAGTGAATATTTTTACCAATTAGTATTGAAGTAACCATTTCACTCGGATCAAGTAAATATTACTTAAACAAGGGCACTTTTTTTCAATGTGATAAATCTAAAGGAACATTCCAATGACAGTGAACGCTCGTTCAACCGTTGTGTGTTTCCTGAACGCAACCAATGACGTTTGATAACTAAGGATAGTTTCTTCCTTTTAATTCTCTAAATCTCATTGTATTTCACGTTGCGTCTTTTACGTTCTTGGGGACGGGTCGATGACGCGAATCGAGAGACGCACCGAGGTACACGAACCGCGTTTGTTTCGCTCCGTTTTTACGATATACTTGATATACACACACATTCTTACACACGCGCACAAACACACACACACACACACACACACACACACCGTTTTCGCATTCGGAATTCCTTTTTGGATCTCGGGTGTCCTTTTCTTTTAGGCACTACCGTCCGTGTGTTACACTTGCGCGTAGAGTACTACAATGATACACACTACATATATATATATATATATATATATATATATATATATANAGACATTATGTATAGATACCTATGATTAATAACGATTATGCGTATTCGTCTCAAGGGAAAAGCACGTGTGTATTTTGCGCGACGACTGGCGTAGGCGGGCGGGGAGAGAGAGAGAGAGAGAGAGAGCGTCTTCGATTTCGTGCCGAAACAAGCGAGGACGAGAAGAGAAAGAGATAAGCGGAGGTGAAGATACATACGACATATTTTTAGACGATTTGACGCGAGGAGAAGTGACACGAAGCAAAAGTAATATTAATTACGAATACGACTACGACTATTACCGCTGCGATTATCGCGCGGGTATTTAGAGCGGCGGGAGGCCGGAGGAAGCGGGTGCATACAAAAG